GGGTCCCGGGTTGCTCAGCGGTTGCTTGGGCGGTTGTGCGGGAGTTTGCACTTCGGCGTGCTTGTCTGCCCGCGGAGTCGGGTTTGGCTCCGGCGTCGGTTGGTTCCTACGGAGACTCCACTTCCGCCTCTTGCATTCCTTGGGTTCCTCTGGGGATCTGGTGTTGGTGCTGCGTCACCAGCTTCCTCTTTGGGGTTTTCGGGGTTCCGTGCCTTGGCGGCTCCCCGAGCCTTCGCTCGATGTGTTCACGGACGGGTCGTCTCTCGGCTGGGGCTTTGTGACCAGTGCTCACCAGGTCGGCCGAGGTTGATGGAGTCTGTCTGTCCGTCGGGCTCACAGCCCGGTTCAGGTGTTCATGGCTGTCTGGTTTGCGCTTCGGAGGGTTTGGGTCACTAGGTACTCTACCATTCAGCTCTGTTTGGACTGTTCTCTGGTGGTTCTTGCCGGAACCACAGGGGGTTTGGTTAACCGTGTGGTTCGTGTCCGGGGTGTGTCCTGCGTCCTGGTGGACAGCTGTCTCGGTTCATTCCTCTTCGTGGGTTGGCCAGTCGTCGCCGATTCGTTTTGTTGGCTCTGTTGGGCTTATGGACTCCTGGCCATGGACGTCTTCGGGTCGGCGTGGTCTAGGCGTCGCCCGTTTTGTGGCGCCCTTCCCACCTGCGAGGACTTCACGGTGGAGGCTTTCGGCAGGCCTGGTCGAGGTGGGGGGTACCTGTACCTCTTCTCCCGGTCCAGCTGTTGCTTCGGGTTCTGGCTCGGTTGCAGCCCATTCCCACGAGAACAGTCCTTATGGTTCCACGGTGGCCGGCCCGGCCTTCTTTTCAGACGCTGCTTGATAGGTGTCCGTACCCGGGGCGTTTTTCCTGAGGCTTCGCCTCTTTCAGCAGGCCGAATCGGTCCTGTCCGTGACTGGTTCGGCCTTCTCTTTGGCTCTTCGCGTCTGGTATTTTGACGCAGGTATCGCCATCTCTATGGTGTTCAGGTGGCTTTGTTGACGGTGTCCCACCTGCGAGCTTCGTCTTGGAGACTGTATGACGTTTATTACGTTTTCTCGCGTTTTGTTTCCCCTCCGGCCTGCTCATGAGTCGCCTGAGCCATCCTGGTCCTTGTTCAGGGTGCCTTCTTCTCTTCCCCTCAGTTTGTGGTAGCCCCTTCGGTTTCAGTTTCCTCCTCTTTGGTACTGGTGGTAGCTTTATTGGTGTGCAGCCTTTCTCTGTCCTGGCGACGGTCGAGACGGCTGCTTTCCGGAGGGGTTCTTGGGGTATTGGTACTTGTTTGGTTTGGCCGGGGGGTGCGTCCTGTGTTGTCCAGTTGTGCTTTTTGCTGTTGCCGGCGTACCGTGCCTGGGGATGCGCTGTGGTTGATCCGGTTCCTTCGTTCCCTGTTTTCAGGGCTCGGGTCTCCCGGGTCGTCCGCAGTGTTTTCCTTCTTCCTGCGGTCTGTCTTTGCGCCCGTGCTGTTCAGACGTTTGCAGCAATTGCTGCTGTGTTGGTGACGTCTCGGGCTCATTTCGGGCGCAGGGAATTGTGGGTCGCACAGGTTTTTGGCCGCCCATCCATATGTGCGTCTGTTCTTGGGCGTTCTTGTTGCCTTGGGTCGCAGGTTTGCGACCGGTTGTCTTGGCTTTGCGTTGCAGAGTTTGTGGCGGCCGCCTCCCGGGTTAGCCCTTTCTTTTCCTTCTCTTTGGGTATGAAGCTCCAGGGAGCCGTAGGGGCTCCCCACAGAAAACCAGCGTTGAATGTAATGAAACGCCATTTTCTGGGTGAGCCCCGGAGGCTCCCTGGAAACCCTCCCTCCCACCGGTCGGCGGTTTTTTTCGCGTTGGTTGAAGCTTAGCTTCCGAACTGGAGCTTGGCAGCCGGCGCGGTAGGTCCGGGGCTCCCCCCTCCCCCTCCCGGGGTGGGGAGGGCTGCGCGGACGATCGGCGCGGCAGTAAAGTGTGATGTTTGCTTGTTTGCTTGTTTCCTTGGGATTGTAGGGAGTTTTCTACCTCTCTGTTCGGTTTTTGTTGTAGTTTCTTACCATGTGGGGTTTGTTTTGTTACGCCTACCTTTCTGGGTGCCTAACCCCGGTCGATGGCAGATAAGGAAAACCCCCAACCATATGGGGTTTTCCAGGGCCATTGCTCCCTGAAACCTCTCTGAAGGGGCCAGGTTCTGGCGCTGGTCCCTGGTAGGTCTGAACTCCTTAGCTAATGTCCCGGTCTAACATAACACACATTAGCCCGATAAGCTCCAGGGAGCCTCCGGGGCTCACCCAGAAAATGGCGTTTCATTACATTCAACGCTGGTTTTTTTGTGCCAATCCTATGTATAATGAACACATACACTATATTATGGCAGTAGAACATCCATACTGTCCGAAGACACTGTGTTATGTGCATGACACATGTATACACATATATTGCACATATTTCCCATGCATCATGCTAATTTATGTGTATATACAATCTATTTATACACTATACACTATCACACACTATATACATTCATCATCAACACACTCAGAACTCCGAGAGTGACAGCTGCCACACCCAATCAGTCTCCCTCACTCTTCCAACATCTTACTTGCCAACATTGCTCCTCCCACCATACTGTCATTGATTTTATTACACTACACATGTTATGTATACCTATCTACATGTTTTATTCACCAAAACTATGCAAGTAAGCCGGTATTGTGTCCAAACTTTACAGTGGCCACCATACACTGCATGAGAAATCACTCAGCAGCCAGCAGACGACGCTACGATTACGTCACCTCCCTCACCAAAATAGCTCCTCCCAACATACTCCTGTTGCTGTTATTACACTGTATACACACATTGTATATACCCATGTACAAATGTGTTCACCATAGTGAACCACTAAGCTAGTATGGTAAGCAAAACAAGAGTGGCTGCCACACACACAGTGAGGCTACCTCGATTCTCTCCCTCGCTCCCTCACCACAATTCCTCCTCCCACAATACTACACACAGTGCTAATTATCACCACAATCCTGCTGTTATCACAATACTGGTCACTAAGTCCTGTAAATGAATAATTGACCACAAGTTTATTTTGTAAAGGAACCTAGGAAGTTGTTAATCACTGATATTAGAACATTGTACATAATCATTATTGCACTCAGGCTCTTCTGTAATACTATCATGGCTAAATAATACAAGTTATGTATATATTTTGACATTATTAGGCGATGCTGTGAAGCTGAACAGCAGTGCTGTGAGCTCATGCTGTGTGTGCCAGCCTTGGTTACTCACTCAGTATTGAGGCTCTCACAACCGGGAATGTGGCCCACAATTTTTTTTAAAGATGGTGTCTGTTTACAAGAGCCCTGGGGAAGCTGATGTGAACCCCATGTAGCTGCAGGAGTTTTGAATGGAACACTAAATATAAAAATACCCGGAGGCACGTTGCGCACCCTAGACGTGGGCCTGCTGGCGCGTTGCACAGTTTATGGGTTAAGTGCACATTTACCCCAGGCGCCCAGGGTTTTAGAGCCTATCGGTAAGAACCTGCAACATTGTTCTAGAGCCTGGTACTTGTTAGTTTTCTGGGTCTCCCTGAAGGTGGCCACCCCACCTCCCTCTGCTATACTGCTATGTAGATAGGTATCAGCCAACGTAGACACACACACGTGTAGTCGCACACGGCCTGTTTACCATCCCTCCATGGCATCAAGGTGACTCCGTCTGGATATTTGTGACTGTTGTCAGGTCTTCACAACTGAGGTTCCCTTTGTGCTGGACACCTAGCTGTAGCCAAACTTATCTTGATGATGTCTTTGACTGCTTCATGTCTGGCAGTCTTTCATGGTGACTTATGACAGACGAGATCATGGCAACCATATTGGTCTGCCGATGCATAGCCGCAAATACACCGGTGTTTGGTGGAGATAGGGGCGGCAAGGCGCAGGGCAACACCAATACTTAGGGCCCGATGGACCAGGCAGGTGCCTAAAGCGGAATTAGCAACAGCCAACAGGAAGTTCCCAGCTTGAGGAGCTTGCACAGCTAGGAGACGCACTTTGTCCTTCCCAGACGCTGCCTTCAGCAATGGTGAGGCAATGTTCTCCACTATGGGGCTGTCCCATTTCGCTTGTTTACAGTCGTTTGGAAAAGTTGGTCAAGGGTGAGGCTTGGCAAAATTGTCCCACTGGCTGGCTCCGTCCTCGAATTTGGTATCATGAATCCCAATGGAGTCTCTTAGGTATTCGGGTAGTATTTCATTCACTAATTCACCTGTAGCACTGGTCAAGGATAAGAAAGCCGGCAATGCTAATTGTGTCACCTTGCGAATACCTGTAACTCCGAGTCTAACTGGGAGCGTTGCTTGGTTCCATTGGTCATCATGCAGGGAGAGGTTTAACACTTTCATGGTTATTGATTTTAGGAGTGCATCATATTCTGTTAATTTTGAACTGTCGAAGAAGGGAGCACACCTTAGGAAATATGTAAGCCTTGGCAAAGCCAGGCACCTTGTGAGGAGGTACAAAGCATCATGGGCATCCAAAGCCCCCTACTCTTTCCTCCATCCTTCTCAGATCGTTCAGCGTTTCTTCAAGAATTACCTCAATGGTTCTCGAGCCCAGAGGTGCTCCTAGCAGCACACTGTTGGTGGGAGCGATCACTGGTGCTCCTGGCAACATGGCTCATACTGCATCTATGATTAGTTGGCTAGATGAGATGATTTCACACTGATGGATTTAGAGCGTAGGGCAAGTCCTAACTCCTCTGCCCTAGATTTATCTAACAGTAGATCCCCTAAAAGGGTCTCCTGTGTCCCTGCCAGGGTGCCATCATCCAGGAACCAGATGTTGATATATATATATATACACCTGTATTCATATAACCATGAATAACAATAACCATATATATATATATATATATATATATATATATATATATATATATATATATATATATATATATATATATATATATATAATATTATTGGTAGTAGTAGTAATAACTTTTAAGGCAAACATATTTTCCACAGAGCTTTAATGGTTGCAGCTAATAGTGAAGAAGAAAAATCCAAGTGGCTTGAAGATCTCACAAGAGCTATTAACCAGGCAAAGTCTCGCCCTGATGATGCCTTCCACTACCTCTCCCTAAAATCTATTAGTAAGTGTCAAGTCAATTAACATATATATTTCAAGAGCATATTTCTGTGTAATATTTTCAAAATCTTGTATGTAGGCATCTGAAAAGATTTATGAGTGCTACCAGGGCAGTTAGTTCTATATTATGCACTGTTTATATTTTGTCATTAATGTTAATATTTTAGTTGAGAGTTAGAATCTCATGCTGGGCATTTTAACCCTTCTACTGTGCATCCCATCACATGATGGGGTAGCTAAATATGTTCAGATTCTGCATCCCATCATATGAGTACAGTATTTGGGAACTGCACTAGATTTGGAAGTTTTGCACATACATGGGACTCACAGTTGCTTCCAGTAACAATCTCCCATTTTGAAAAGTGTGAATCCTGCATTTTCCTTCTAGAGCTTTAGTAAAAAAAAAAATGAGGACCATATCTGGCAACATCACCATCCTAGTCCGGCTGCGGGAACTTCTCGACAAGCAATCTACCTACCGCTGTCCTGCTCAATGTCTCAAATGTACAGTTCCACGGGTATATATGGGGGGACCGGGAGCTAAGCTCTGCCTTCCAGGAGATAGCCTCTGGCTATCTACCTACCCCACCTAGACAGCAGCTTGTCTGATGGAAAGACACAGCCAACTGGCTGCAATTATCAGCTTAGCAGAAAGCAAGGTCACTTCACACGACTTGACCCGAAGGCAAACTGTTACAATTAACACCTGAAAGGTGTGACTCTAGAATAATTATCAGGCGACTGTCTGGAGCCTTCAATATCTTGTGTGACTGACTCTCGTTGTATGTAAAATAATATACAAAAACACATTTATGGCGTTATAGCCTGACGCACGAGTTCACGAGTTTGTCGTCAGTGTCAGACTATGTTCATGATCAGGCTCATTTTCAGTGTCAGGGTAATGTTCATGATTACGTTCATCTTCAATGACAGGCTCATCTTTAGTGTCAAGATCATCTTCACACTCAGGCCATCTTCACGATCGGGTTCATCTTCATGATCGGGTTCATCTTCATGATCGGGTTCATCTTCATGATCGGGTTCATCTTCATGATCGGGTTCATCTTCCTGGTTGGGTTCATCTTCCTGGTCGGGCTCATCTTCCTGGTCGGGCTCATCTTCCTGGTCGGGCTCATCTTCCTGGTCGGGCTCATCTTCCTGGTCGGGCTCATCTTCCTGGTCGGGCTCATCTTCCTGGTCGGGCTCATCTTCCTGGTCGGGCTCATCTTCATGATCGGGCTCATCTTCCTGGTCGGGTTCATCTTCCTGGTCGGGCTCATCTTCCTGGTCGGGCTCATCTTCCTGGTCGGGCTCATCTTCCTGGTCGGGCTCATCTTCCTGGTCGGGTTCATCTTCCTGGTCTGGTTAATCTTCATGATCGGGTTCGTCTTCCTGGTCGGGCTCATCTTCCTGGTCGGGCTCATCTTCCTGGTCGGGCTCATCTTCCTGGTCGGGCTCATCTTCCTGGTCGGGCTCATCTTCCTGGTCGGGCTCATCTTCCTGGTCGGGCTCATCTTCCTGGTCGGGTTCATCTTCCTGGTCGGGCTCATCTTCCTGGTCGGGCTCATCTTCATGATCGGGCTCATCTTCCTGGTCGGGTTCATCTTCCTGGTCGGGTTAATCTTCATGATCGGGCTCATCTTCCTGGTCGGGTTAATCTTCATGATCGGGCTCATCTTCCTGGTCGGGCTCATCTTCCTGGTCGGGCTCATCTTCCTGGTCGGGTTCATCTTCCTGGTCGGGTTCATCTTCCTGGTCGGGCTCATCTTCATTGTCAGGCTGATTTTCTTTGTCATATTATGAAGTTCATTTATTGCTGCTGTAATTCCAGTAGGATTAAAATTGGTTTTCTGTTGTCACCAACCTGCCAACTTGACACCTCGCGACCAGATTGACTTTAGTAGGCAATGATGTCCGAGTAAGCGGTCATCATTCTCACTGTATCCAAGCATGGAACAAATTTAAGTAATTTAATTTGTATTAAATTAATCAGTAGAGCTGAATTTTGTATGAAAATCCTCTGCCATTTCCATGAGCAGCCATACATGGTAATTTGTTTTATCACTCCTCTACCTATGACACACTCATATTGTTCATTATTTTCTTTCAGTTTGATTATAGCAGTCCAATACCTTAGCCTTAATTCTCATAATATATAACAGTCATCTTATTAATCTTGTACGTGGCCACAAGACACGTGAGGATCAACTCTAGGACGAGACAACTGGCTGCAACCTGTGACCCAAAACCACACATGAATGACTGGCACCAGGAACATTTACCAAATAATGGGCAGATCAGCCCAAAGCATGTCCACATCCCCAGAGGCTGATGCACACAGGTAACAGCACAAAGCTGCAACCAGACATGACACACGATGCACTCCTAGCCTGACCAATCAAGCATCAATAAACCATGGGCCCCTCCAGAAGCCTGACGTCTCATTCTTTGCCATAAAAGGAGATGGCAGCAACCAAACAAAAAGTTCACCAGGACCAAGAGAGCAGAAGCCTGTGCCGGAGGAGAGCATGCAGCTCACAGACCCGACCCCCTCAGAGGCCAAAGCCAACAGAAACAGAGCTTTCTTGAACCAAAGGGGCCACCATAAACCAAGGAGAAGAGAGAAAAAGAGAGAGAGCACTCTGTCCAAGGACCAGGACGGTTCAGGTGGTGCATGAGCAGGCCAGAGGTGAACCTAAGCACGAGAATGCTTACGGAACGCAAGCTGGAGTGGCTCTACCGCGTCACACAATACGAGGCAACGGTATTCAGCATAAGATAGTCCTGAAAGAGCCTAGAAAGAAAAGACAAGATAACCCGAACAGAAATGGAATTAAACTACAAAGAGAGGAAATGGTGAAAAGACCACCAAAGACACCTCATAGTGTTGCCGAGACAAAGACCGCAGGTTGGACACCATGAGAAAAGCCATCTGATCACAATACAAGTGGTGATACACCCACATCAAAAAGACCAGAAGCGACGGGTGGAGGAACAGATCGAACCAGCTACGTACCGGACTGGCTCAATCTGCTGGAAGAGGTGGAGCTGCGGAAAACAACCTGGGTTCGGACGTCCTAGCCACCGAGGTCACCACACCAGACGAAGGCCCGGCACTCAACTCCTCCACATCCTCCTCAAGCCAGTCCGAGGACAGCTCGAGAAGGGAAAAGAAGTGCAAGACCAATGTCAAATGCCCATGGGCGTGCAAATCCTTGGCAGCCAAAGACGCCGCTCAAACTCGCCTCCCAGGTAAACCTGCAGAACAGTAGAAGTTTCTCGCCATTCAAGCATGCGGGTCCGACAGAACCCTTGCCACACCCCCAACAAAAAGAATGGGCAGTCTGGCCAGCCAGGAAGACTCCGGAACTTCTAAATGCACCCAATACGGGGAAGAACCAAACTCAAACGAGGACAGATCCATCACAGAGGCAGAATCCGGGTCTTGCAGGAGGTATGTAGCAAGGGTCTCCCGAACCTCCTGAGGAGAGATTTGAGAGGCAGAAAACCTCTGGAAAGTGTTAGAGCCAAGGAACCAAAAGGAACCCGGAGAGGAGCTGACCCCAAATCATACTCGTACAGGGAAGGTGGAGGTTAAGAAAACCCTTGTCCCTGCAACAACAAGCCTTGCAAAGAGGGCACCGAAACCCAAGCGGGGTCAAAGGGGACCCAAGCGGGGTCAAAGGGGGCCCAAGCCCCCCAGGTCAACTCCTCCCCAGCCCCAGGATCCTCCAAACCAGGACCCAGGGCAGAGCAGTCCTTCATACTCTCTACCCCCTGAAGAAAAGGAGCAGAAAAGAAGGGGGTCTGCTGGTGGGACCCAGAAGCCTCGAGAGGAGGAACCAGCTCGAATGCCTCCATCCCCAACCCGAATGAGGTAACCCTTGAAGCTGCCTGAGTCTCATTACCAACTGAAATCCTGTCCCGACTCCGAAACCCTCAAACGCTTGGGAGTGGGGAGTGGGGGAAGGGGGTACTCAGGACAAACAACAGGGAAAGGACAAGGAAGCATGGACAAAACCAAAGTCGAGGTGACTAACATCAAGTTCGAGTCCCTATAACCAAAATGGGGCAGCCTCAGGGCATCCAGGTGGGCAACCAACCTAGTGCATTGCAGCAACCTGAATCTCGCATGCAACGCAGATGCTGCCTGTACCCGAATATCAGTGCCATTAGAATGAGTAAATTGGAGAATAAACAGAGAGCACGACTTGCAAGACTCCAGGTCAAAGGTGTCGTTGACCCAACAGGCAGCATGACGGAGGCAAAAACGGTGACTGTCACCCTGAGACAAGGGCACCCAGCAATCCTTAAACTCGCACCAGGCGAGGTGGAACTCAAAAGACACATAAGTGCATGCAGCCCCAGTACTCTCAAATTTCTCCTGGCCACTGTGCCACACACAGCAGAACACACTACTAAGGTATACAACTGCCCAGAATCTGAGGACAGTGTCAACGTCCACCCCAGACCACATCAGCCAACGAACTAAAGTTGTTGGGTAGCCAGCGCGGAGGGGTCCGGGGCTCCCCTTTCCTGGGGAGGGGAGGGGAGGGCTGCAGACAAGTGGCGTAGTGTGGTGTTTGCTTGTTTCTTTAAGTAGGGGAGTTCTTTGCCACTCTGAGGGGGGCCAGGTTCTGGCTCAAGGTCCCCGGTAGGCTGAACTAATATAAATATGACTAATATAACACATATCAGCCTGATAGCTCCAGGGAGCCAGAGAGGGCTCCCACAGAAATTTTTATTTGACACGATGGAAGGATGTTCTGTATTTTAAATAACAAATTCTGGGATGTGAGAGGGTGGTGATCCTGGCATGCCACACTACACACAGAAATGCATCATGTGGTGCTTTGGCGAACACACAAATATCACAAAAAAAAGTGGGGGGAGTAGGTTGGTCTATGCAAGTGGCGTACAGTTAAGAGGTAATGACAATACAGTTATTGCAAACAGTAAATTCTTTACAAATTCAGTTTGGCATCACCTGTAACTGTTTAACTGATCTCGTATTGGTTCATCAGGTTCATCAGATGAGGTTTTGGACCGAAGTGAAAGCAGTGTGATGGAGGATCCTCTAAGCCCTACAAGAGGAATCGGTGACAAAGGCTCTTCTCCCCAGCAGCGATCCAACACAACGGTCCATGTTTGCTGGCATCGAGCGACAAGTGTTTCTTCCCATGATTATTCCCTTGCTGTTCAGGTTTGTCTGTCTTTTCACTGACTTTGCCTTTGGCAAAGTGTAGCCTTAATATTTGCTTAGTAAATGTTTCTCTTCAAATATGCATGCAGAGTATGTATAGCATACTGCTATACATCAACAGCTATCACATTGAATAAAAGGAAAATAAAGAAAATAGATAGGGCATAGACCTAATCTGTAATGTTGAGCAGATAGGGAGGTAACCTTAACAGTAGACATGTTAAGCTGGACCATCACGGACTGGTAGAGAAACTTCTACGGTTGGGCAGGCTTCAGAGTGTTACTTTCAGTACATTGTGGTCCAGTTGGTAATATGTGCATCTGGGGTGACCTAAGACACAGGTTTGATTCCACATCATAGATATATCACATTTTTTCTCGATGGAGCCCCCTTGTGGCTCCTTGAAGTTGCAATCTCTGATAAAATGTCATACTACTGGGTCCCATCAATCACAGAGTTCTATGTGGCGTACTGGGGACCAAGAGCCTGAACCTGGCGCCCTCACAGAAACGTAGTAACCGATGGCACTTATACTGCATATTAAATTTTCATTTATGCTACCACTGAGGAAGGCATCCAGAAATTCAGTGAAACAAAACAAACCACTATTGGCTTTAAATGAGACCAAAGCCTCCAGAAATGGCTATAGAACTCCCCCAACAATGTAAATAAATGATCAAAATTTCATGAAACTAATGTCAGCTCGTTTGCCCCACTTTTCCCCTCCCTTGATTTGGAGGGTGGAGGGAGGCTGCCAGGGGGTCAGCCAGCTGCTCCATCCTCAGTTTTCATCTGATGGTAATGTGTTTCAGGTACAGTACTCTAACCCTAGTGAGCTTTTTTATTGTTATTTTGCCTTAGTGGCTGTTCTTTACACCTTTGTGTTGTGTGGGTTAGGAGTTAAAAAAAAAAAAGTGGTTGGAAGTGAAGTGCCCTGTGCACTCCTTAGTGCTGCCATTGTGCTGCTATGACCATTTTTCCTGTACTATTCGGGTGAAGTCCCTTTGGAGGTCCTTGCCTAGGGGTAAGTCGGGTGACTTTGACTTCTGTGTTTTCCCAGGTTGGAGCATCTTGGCTGGTGAGGCACTCTGGTTGTACACTCTACTGCACTTCGGTGCACTGAGGTAGGTTTTCCCAGCTGCCTTAGCTATGCTGGGTTACTTTACATAGCACTTTTAAGAGTAGCAGCATAGCATCCCAGTGCCCTGGTTGGAATGTAATCTTTAGAGGTTAAAACTAAAAGACGCAAAGGCTGCATCTCTGGTTTCCCACTGGCCCTTTTGCAGTTCGCCCCTTGATGGAGCAGTGGGGAAGGGGCTGCTTTGCTCAGTTTTTTGATGCCTGGTCTCACAATTCGTGGGCTTTTCAGGTCATTTTCAGGCAGCCTGCGGTGGTGTTGGTCACTCTCTCCTCATGGGGCTATTCGGATGGGCTTCCTCTCCTCGTTTCCATTGAATCATCTTGGGTTGGGTGGCTTCAGACATAGTTAAAATTTCTGTGCCTCTTTGGTGGGTCTTTCACCTTTTCTCGGTCCCAACTTGGGACTTGCTGGATCTCCAGTTCCTTCTTGGCTTGTTGAGGATGGTCCGATTTGTTCCTTGCCCCCTATTCTGGATGACCATTCTGTCTTGGGCCCCTCTCACTCTCAAGGTGGGTGCTTTGATCTTTCCCTTAGCCTCAGGAATGCCTCTTGGCTAGTCCCTATACAATTGAGGTTCAGGGTTTAGTTAGGGTTTGCTGTGGGATGGCAAGTGCTTACGGGTTCTCCCATTTGACCTTATTTTGGCTCCGCTTGTTTTTACATGCTTTGTTCGGGACATGGTGGTCTGTCTTCGTTTGTTGGGTGTTTGGGTTCTGCCCATCTTGACAGCTCCCAGCCGGTCTGCATGTCTGCTAGTCAGAGTTCTGGTTTTTTCCTGGCTCACTAGGTTCAGATTTCTGGAGGGAGTCCCTGTTTGTTTTGACCTGGGCCAAACTTGGTTGGGTCTTGTTGGAATTTAGGTTGGCATCACTTCCCTGCTTTCTGTGGCCTTATCCCAGCTGCGGCACAACTGGGGTTTGGTGTTGCATTGGCCCCGAGTTCCTCGGGAGTTGCTCGAGTGAATGTACGGAGGGCATAACCGTCCTGTTCTTGTGTTTCCTTGGACTGGGTTTGACTTCAGTGGCTGTTGTCTGAGGCATCCCCTTCTCCACTGCCACAACCACTGGGTATGGACCCTGTTTGGCTCTGTGTCAGCTGCTACTTCGCCAACTTCCTTTCTGGGCTTTTAAGGGTTCTGTTCCTGGTGCCTTCCTACGCCCTTCCTCCGCCCTCACTCAACATTATTCATGGTCATCTTGGCTGTCAGCTGAGGCTTTGTGGCCAGCAGTGGCCATGCACTGCAGGAGGTTTGGATTCTGCCAGGCTGTATGGTCCAGTTTTTTTTTTTTTTTAGTTTCATTCAGACTTTTCTCCTGTGGTTCTCATCTGGGGAGGTTCGCTTCAGTTCCTGCCCCTTTGGAGGTGGACTCTTCAGATTGCTATGCTGGGTTGTCGGGGTTGGTTCATGTGGTTCGCATTCAGGGTATCCAGCGTCCTTGCAGCTGGTTTGTCCTGGTTCCTGTCCATCTCCTCAGAGTGGGCTGTCGATGCTGCCTCCTGTGGCTTGTCAGACATTCGGGGGCACAGAAGTGGACCTCTTCATGTCTGCTCGGCACCTTACTCTTCTGTAGCACCATTTTCCAATGGTAGGGTGCTCATGGTAGTGACGTTTGCTGGACTAATCAAGGTGGGAATTCATTTGGCTCTTCCCTCTGGTCTGGCTGCTACTCTGAGTCCTGGCATAGTTGGAGTCTCCATTGGGATAGTGATCCTTCTGGCTCCTTGGTGGCTGCCCAAGTCTTGGGTATGATGCTGCTTTCTCAGTGTCTGAATCCAATCTTTTTTCCACGGCTCCGCCTCAGTGGTTCAGACCAATGACATGCTTTGCTGGATTGTCCTCTGCTCTGCTCTACATGTCTAATCTTTTGACGTGTGTGTTTCGGCCTCCATGGGCGATTTGGTGACCTTGTTGGTGTCCCACCTGTAATTTTCCTCAAGGTGGCTGCATGGGGTTCATGACGTTCATTTACCACTCTCTCTCCTTTACTATTTTACTTTCTATGTTCAGAACTTCACTCTTTTCTGTCCTGGCTTTTCTTGGTCAGCATCTCAACATGAGGCAACCACACACAGTCGCCTCAGGTTGTGCAGCGCTGGCGGAGCTGTTGCAGCTTAAGTTCAGGGTCAACACATCCTCAGCTCCGTTTCGCATGCTGTTTCAGGTGTTGTTTCACATCCGGGTTGCATTGTGCCACATGAGCTTGCTTGGTCTGTGGCCCATGTTTTGTACTTTGTCTCTTTCGCTTGATTTTGGTGTCCTTTCAGTTCGGTTTGCTGCTTCATTGTTTTGTGTTGCTTGTTTCAGGTTGCCAGGTTGCTGCACCTTGTGATCTCATCCAGATCTTTGACCATTCACCCTGTTGGGCGTTTTCTTTATTTGCTGCGGACTCCTTTTCTTGCAGAGATTGGGTCAGTTGTCCTCCAGAGGAAATCCTTGCGTTGTTGAGATTAATTGGTACAGCCGTGGTACTTCATTTGTTATCGGGTGGCAGCTGGCACTGCACTCCTTATGCCGCTGGTTTTGCCTCGGTGACTACTTTGTGGGTTGATCCTATCTCCTGGATCCCTTGTTCTAAGGCTTTTCCTTCTCAGGTCATCCACAGTGTTTCTTCATTGATAACCTGAGATCAGTCTATGTAGTGTAAATGTAGATGTAAATGTAGTGTAAAGCCTGAGACCTTTCCTCGCACCTGTGGGGTTCAGAGGTTTGCTGTTTTCTCAGTTGTCCTTGCGACCCTGTCTTTTGCTATTGTTCGCGAGTGGAGTTTCTAGTCGCCCTAGGTTTGGGCGGCCTTTTTTCCTGTTGGGAAAGCCAGGCCTTGGTAGTCTTGTTTGGTCTTAGCTTGACTTTTCAGCTAGGCATCTCTTCTTCATTGTTCTTTTGAAGTCTTATTCCTCCTTGGGTTGCTAGCTTCAGGGAGTCACAAGGAGCTACTCCCAGAAAACCAGCATTGAATGTAATGAAATGCCAATTTTTGGGTGAGTCCCATTGGCTCCTGACACCCCTCCCTCTCTCCAAGTTGTTGTAGGGAGGGGGATGTTTTCATCATGGTCACACAGAGGGTGGAGCAGCTGGATGACCATGGGCTGCCTCCCTCCTCCCTTCAAACAAGAGCAAATGTGGGGCAAAGGAACTGGCTCTAGTTTCATGAAATTTCTGTCATATATTTATATTGTTTACATTACATTGTAGATAGCCAATTCTGGAGGCTGTGATCTCGCTTAAAGCCAGTAGTGGTTTGTGTTGTTGACTTTGTGGGTGCCTTCCTTGGTGGTGGTGGTATAAATGAATTACTTAATATATAAATGCCATTGCTCCCTGAATCTCTGTGAAGGAAATTAGGACCTAACTCTTGGTCCCCTGTAATTCGTAGAACACCACAACTGATGGGACCTAGTTGCATGACACTATCAGAGATAGTAGCTTCAGGAAGCCATCATGGCTCACCCAGAAATCAGGGTTTCATTGCATGCAATGCTGTAATATTAGAATGATGTGCTTAGAAAAGGACATTTCATATAACTAGAGAAATTAGGTAGCATGTAAAGAAACACTTTTTTTTTCTGGAGGAGCCTTAGTGACTCTGAAGCTGTGTTGCTGAAATTGCTACATACTAAATGTCTCATCAGTCACAGAAGTCAGTTTGACCTAGCAAACACCAAAGCCAGAACCTGGCCCCCCTCATGAGAGGCACAAGGAGTGAATGACAACCCACCACCCCACAAGAAGCCCCAGAAAGTTAGTGAAGCTGACACACAAGGCAAGCTGAATAAAATACCACCACCACCACCTGAAGGAGAGGGGCTGGCATCTTGGGCAAGGCTGCCAAGGCCATAACCACAGGCTGCATGGTCTCTACCCCTCAGAGCAGACCCCAGCAATGCCACATCCTCACAAAGGCACTCAACAAACCCCCTCCACAAGCACCCAGACATGCAGCAAACCCACCAACAGGTGCAAATGAACCCGATGATTCTCTGCCATATGGACTCTGGACAGCAATGGCAGCTGCACATGGAACTGCCACTTGCCTACATCCTTGGAAAGCTCTGGGGTAGACAGCTCATGAGCAAAGCAAGAAGCTCATGAAGCACTGCTTGGGAGCAGGTGAAAGACGGAGCTAACTTCCCCTCACTCAAGCACCCAAGGGCACTCCTTGGGCTCTTTCTCAACCTCGGTACCCTGCCATGAAGGTTCCAGGGTAGTGATGAAGTTTTTGTTCAACACCCCAGAAGGCAGGTGCCCTCTCAAGACAATAGGCTTGGACATGGAGGCAGTTGTGAAGGAGAGTCTCGAAACTCCTGCGGGACTAAAAGCCTCAACTGCCTCTGCTGTTGATGTGGATGGAACTACCTGCTTGATGGGGTTCTGGGAGTTGTTCTACTCTCCAAGTCCGGCCCATGGCCAGGCTTGACTTGTGAGAGTTTGGTCTCACAAGCACCCTTGGAGAAGGCTGACCTACATCTTCAGCTAAGCCCTTACCCGACTCCAAAACTTTCAGATGCTTAGGAGCTAGAACCAGGAGGAGGGGGGGAGGGATGGAAAGACCAGAAGCCAGGCAAACCACACCCACAGGGTAAGGAAGAGGTATGGGCTTAGTCCAGATGGAGGTGACCAACACCTCCAATTCTGGGTGTCTAAACACCATAGGGGGTCACACTCTTGGGGTATCCAGCTGGTCAGTATGCAGTGAACACCTAACACATGCAAACTTAGCTTGCAAAGTGACAGCTTACTGAAATGCCTTCAACTGTGAGATGGAATCTGTCAATATAGGACCCAGCGAGAGCAAACCTCACAGAACTCGTAGGTTTTATCGACTCAACAAGCAGCATGGTGGGGGGTGGCATTGTCCTGTAGCAAGGACAATGACCACCACTCAGACTCTCACATGGTGAGAGCGGGCCTTGACGGGCTGAGCCGTACAGACCAAGCTAGAGACCCGATTGGATTCCATGGGCCTGAAGGATGGTAACCCAAGCATACAACCCAGGCACTAGGGCTGCTTGCCAAAAGGACAGACACCAATCACAGTCCAAACTACCAGACTGCAAGTGACGACTGCAGCATGCCATGTAAACAAGCACATGAACCCCATTGTACTCCCAACATAACCAAAGAATGCCCCCAGCCAAGGGCCCAAATGGAGGAATCAAAGATGCTTGAATAGCCCAAGGCGAGACTCTCCACCCCAGTGGTCAGACCACTTGAGGAAAAACTCCAAAATACACCAGAGAAAGGAACTCAGGCAAGAAAACCCCAAGTGCATGCAGGCCAAAAGACCTAAAGAGCCAAGCCCACACAAAAATCTGTAACAAAATTATACACCTGAAGCCTATACTAAAGAAAGGAAAAATAAACAGAGCAAGTGGTTCCTGCAGGACAACAAAGTCCAAGGATGGCTTGCACTTAGCTTGAAACAACATGGCTTGCCCACAGTCTCATGGACCAGTAGCACCACAAGTTGCACTAGTATGGCATCAGCAACAGAAGTGAGGTGGTTGAAAGCTGAGGCTGGGTCGCTTGGTAGCAGTAATCTGTACCAACAAGTTTTGAACTATTGAGTGAATCCCTTGTTTGGCATGAATCATTTACAGAATTCCTGAGTGGTTTTAAGGTGCCAGATTGTTTTCTGTGAAACAGAAAATGAAGACAGATTGTTTTCTGTGAAACAGAAAATGAAGCCTCCAGTTGTGTGTAAAGCATCACTAACTTTCAGGAATCATCTTCTGAGTGCGTGGCAGATTGTCACCCACTCCCTGTGCGTCTCTTGAAAAGGGAACCAGGTTCTGGCTGTGATCCCCAGTATGTCAAACAGAACTTCCATGACTGATGTGACCCTTGAGTATGTAGCATTCTTAGCAAGATAACTTCAGGGAGCCACCAAGGGGGGCTTCCTCCAGAAAACTACATGTACTCAGATAGTGTATGGAATAATATAGTGTGTATACAAAATTAGTTCCCTCCCCCCCCCTCCCCAAAAACCACTTAGTACTTTTGTGTGTTAAACTCACTATTAATGTTTTCAGAATCAGCTTAGCGGCTACCTGCTACGTAAGTTTAAAAACAGCATGGGTTGGCAGAAACTGTGGGTTGTTTTTACCAACTTCTGCCTCTTCTTCTACAAAACTTTCCAAGTGAGTTATTATTATCTTTTATATTTTTATTTGAGGCCATGGGAAAAACCCAGCATTGTATGTAATCAAATTGCTCTTTCTGGTGGGTCCTTTAGTGCCTCCTTGTTGCTACATCCTGGTAGCTCCACCCAGTTCAATTCACACCAGGTTCTTACAAGTCTTAAAAAGACTACCAGACACCAGAGAGCAAAACCTGGTCAGACTGCAAGCAGCTGCATCTAATAGCCTGGTTGACTTGACTACCAACCAGGAGGCTTGGTCAGAGACTCAGCTGTGGAGACATTGACCCAAGAGCCAACACGAGGTAAAGTAGAATTGTGAGGCCCCTGGGAAAGTGCCCAGTATGCCCATATCTTATCCCTTAATACACCATGAAGAGAAAGGGAGGGTCCAGGGAGCTATCAAAGGACACACCAGAAAGAGGTGTTTCATTACATTCAATGCTAGTTTTCTGGGAGGGTTCCAGTGGTGGCTGCCTGTTGCTGTTCCAATACAAAGACACAAGGGAAAACATCCTGCGTGGAGGAGAGCAGAAATCCATAACCCAAAAGGGAGGAACAATAGCGGAAAATCAAAGCCACATAGGCCTGGGCAGTCCGAGTACAAGAACCAAGTACAGTAATGAGCTGTCAAGACTGTTAAAATACCAGAACCTCCAAGCCCAGAATGTAGCCCAGGACAGAGAAACAAACACAGTACAGTAGTTAAAAACTTCAAACCTCAATATAAAAAAGCACCCGGAAAATCCTGGACCACAAAAGGCAGCATTTCGTTTTGTTTATCCATTTTATTCTGCGGGGAGCCTCTTTGGCTCCCCAGAGCTATCCGGGCTGATATGAATGTATTAGACCCTGGCAACTGTCAAGCAAATGGAGTTCTTAGGCCTACCAAGGACCACGAGCCAGAACCTGGCCCCCCTCAGAGAGGCACAAGGAGCAGTGGCCTATAGAAACCCCCCTGTGGTTGGAAGCAGTCTATGTCTTGCATCGACCGGGTCAGGCACCCAGAAAGGTAGGCACCCCCAAAACAAACCCTATCTGGTTAAAAAAAAATTGCTACCGAAAGACGAACTGTTGACAGAACTCCCCAAATGAAAAACAAGCAAATGAGCATGACGTCACAACCGTCACCATACCGTTTTCTGTGCAATTATCCCCTCCCTGGGAGGGAAAACTGGGAATCCCAGACCCCCATGCCGGCTATCCCACCTACAGTTGTGTGGCTGATGTGAGACCTGGCGATCGTGCGATTTTGGCTCCAGATTTGTTTCAGTGCTAGGCCTTGTGGTGTGGTCCTGCCCGTTAGTGGCGTGTGAATGTTAAAGACGAGTGCTTGCTCTGTAGGGTCAATGTTTAAGGTCATAAAGTTCCAATCAGTGGAGTTAGGCCCGGCCCCCAGGGAAAACAATTCCCAGAAAAGTATGAATAACAATATATGGCCTAACGTCTAGAGATATCAACTACCCCACTACAGCAAGGCTGAATGAAAACTGGTAAAAACTTTAATATATAATTTATTAACCCTAATCCCCCCTAAGTACAATACAGTAAGTACTTTACCACCTCGATCTTACGTTAATTCCCTGACTCCACATAAGCAGGAGACGAGAGTTACATACAGCAAACTAGAGGTAGGTCTACTTCCCTTAAGGGGCTGAACACATCACTTGATAATTTAAACACCCCATGTGGTCACGCTAAGCCACCCCAGTAAGACAAATACTTGGGGCTTGAAAACACTGACCTAGAGGACCCCAAAACAAAAGACTTAGAACAACTAATGGTATGGTAATAATATATATAACAAGGGGGTACTTATCTGGTTATGTCAAAAATAAGGAGAGAGGTGAAGGAAGTAGGGGAAGAGAGATAAATAGCCACACAGCCACAATGTCCTGCCATCTCTGTCAGCAGATAGAGAAAAGCGCTCCCCCAACATTAGGTCACTGCCTGAATGACTAACTAATCGTACAGTAACATACTTATTCATAGTTATTCTTCAATACAAACATTTACTTGCTACTAATCAGTTTTAAGTGTAACTAACATCTTGCTTTACATTACACTAACATTCAATTATCACAGAGTATACCAGCTCTGTGAGCAACAAGGTTAACCTACGTCTGGCAGGAAAACAGAACTGTCGTCCTAGTTAAGAACTCAAACCCTTTTGAAATATAAGTACAAGACTGTTAGATAATTTTTCCCCTACATAACCTAACTTATCAATTAATGTTCTATATTTTACTTAATCAAAATCCCACCCATAATCCCAAACATTCAAGGCCTGTCACTAAAACTTGAGTGAATGGTCCCTGTATGCATGTAAACAAGGGCGTTAAGAACCCGGTCCCTTTCAATGCCAATTAAGGTGCTAATTATAGACCCAGGGTTGTAACAGCGAGCCAGGAGTATTTTCTCCAGTATTCGGGGCTGCATACGCCTAAGATTATCTTCCCTAGGTGCCTTGTAAGTACTGCCCTTGTGGCTTGGGGTTCCCTTACCCAAGTCGCTCAAGCTCTACCTCCGCGTGGTCTTTTGCTGTTCAGTGATTGCCCACCCTTGGTGTCATCTGGGATGTTTCATGCATTCCTGTTTGCTGCTAGGTAGGAGGTAGTTTCGTCACTGGTAGGGGCACAAGGTACTGTGCAGCTTGTTGTCACCATAATACTGCAGCCAGCTCTGTTCCATATGGGACATTGTACTCGTATGGGATTTTTCTTTTCTTTTTGTTTTATGCCTGGTGAAGGGTCTGCCTCTTGGTGTTGTTGACCCTTTTTGTTAATTTGTATTCTTGGTAGTCCTCCGCCTAGGTCCCCATGTGTGTACTCATCCCGGGGACTCAGCTATTAGTAGTTTGCTTGGTAGTTTGGGGTGCAGGTTAGCAGTACTTGCCTGGGCTTTCCCTAGCAGAGCATCTAAAGGCCCTGGAAAACCCCACTGGGGCTCAGTGGTCTGATGGATTCGTCCCCTGGGTTCCCATCTCACTTTGTGAGAGTTTGAATGTTGCTCTGTTCCTTTGTCTCAGGGTGACAATTACCTGTTCTGCCTCCATCATGCTGCCTGTTGGGTCAGTGACACTTTCGACTCGGAGTCTTGTGAGTGGTGATGTTGCTTGCATGTACCCAATTCCAGTGCTTGCAAGTTTCATCCAATTCCCTGATCATCATATTCGGGTGCAGACAGCTTCAGTATTGCATACGCATTATAGGTTACAGAGTGGTAAGTTGCTCACTTGGATGTCCTGAAGCTGCCCTGTTTTGGTTATAGGGACCCGGACTTGAGGGTGTTAGTCGCCTCGACTTTGGATTCATCCGCACCCTTCCTAGTCCTTCCCTTCCTTTTGTTTTACCTGTCCCCCACCCCCCTTCCCTGCTTCAAGCTCCAAAACGTCTTGAGGGTTACGAAGTCGGGGCAGGGTTTAGTTGGTGGTGAGACTCGGACAGTTTTGGGGGATGCCCCATCCGGTATTGTGATGAAGGCATTCGAGCCCATTCCTCCACCCAGCGCCATCAAACCCCGCCCCGATCCTACAGACGGTAAGGAACTGGATGCAGGCAGGAAAGGGGATCCAGGGGAAAGACAAGGGGGCGTGGAAGGAACCGAAGCAACCAACACCCCCAAGTCCCAACGCGAACCAAAACGGGGCAGCCCCGGGGCTCCCAGGGAGTAAACCATGAGAGCGTTGCCACCACCAAGGCTCAAAGTGCAACGCCTCTGCTGGCCACACCCGCTTAGTCAGCACAACTGAGTAACCGAGCCACAACGAGCAACAAAACTTGCAGGACTCCGGGTCGAAGGTGTCACCGACCCCACAGGCAGCAGACGGAGGCAAAACAGAGAGTCACCCAGAGACAAAGGGTGAGAGCAACCCTCAAACTCGCTGGAAGCGAGGGAGGACATTGGGGTAACATCCATCGGACCCACGCGCCCCCAGGGGTTTCCCAGGGTCCCGAGCGTTTACTATAAGAGGACTCGTGCTCAGAGAATCCCAGGCAGGGTACTGCTAACCGGCACCCAAAGCTACCAAACAACTTTCTAAGAACTGAACCCCTGGGACGTGTACACTCACGGGGTCCTAGCATTGGAAACCACCAGAATAATACTCAGAACACAAGGGACACAGGGGGCAAGAACAAAGGCAGACCCCCCCACCAGGTAGATAAACAAAAAGAAAAAGAAAACCCCACAAGAGGACAGCGTACCCAAGTGGAACAGAGCCGGCTGCCATGATTGGTAAAGACAAGCTGCACAGTACCCTGCACCCCACCAGTGCAAAACTGCCCCTTACCCTAAGGTGAACAAGGGAGACAGAACACCCGAGTACACAAAGGGCGGCGAAAACCAAGCAGTAAACGGCCTAGCAGGGGCAGGACCCAAGGAACTTGTGGAAGGTGGCCCCAAGCCCCAAGGGCAGTGCTTACAGGGCACCTAGGGAAGGGAACCCTAGGCGCATGCAGCCCGAGTACTGGAGACTCACTCCCGGCTCACGCACCACCTAGAAGACAGACACCACACTCTAGGTACAGTGCTGAAACAACTAATGGAGCCGGAGCACACAACCGGTGCCTATAGCATCAGCCGAAGAACTGATGGGTGGATAGCCGGCATGGGAGGTCTGGGGCTCCCCCTTCCCCCTCCCGGGGAGGAGGAAGCTGCGCAGTGGCGTGGTGACGTGTGACGTCATACTAGTTTGCTTGTTTTCTGTTGGGAGTTCTATCCACTAGTTCGGCTTTTGGTAGCAATTTTCACCAGAATAGGGGTTTGTTTTGGAATGCTCACCTTTCTGGATGCTTGACCCGGTCGATGGCAGACATAGAATGCTTCCAACTACACGGGGGTTTCTTTAGGCCATTGCTCCCCTTGCCTCTATGAGTGGGCCAGGTTCTGGCCGTGGTCCCCGGTAGGCCCTAGAACTCCATACACATGACTGATGCCAAAGTCTGACATTAGCATATCAGCCTGGTATAGCTCCCGGGAGCCGACAGGGCTCCCCCAGAAAAGACCAAATATCCAGATTTCTCTCAAATCCCAATAACACTGTATCCGTCATGGTTTTGAAATGTATGCACATATACAGGCCAACTAAGTCATATACTTCTCTAATCTTTTTAGGATGACTTCCCTCTGGCATCTCTCCCACTACTGGGGTACACAATTACCACGCCGGGAGAGGACGACCAGATTCAGAAGGAGTTTGTCTTCAAGCTTCAGTTTAAAAATCATGTCTATTTTTTCAGGTAGGATCTGAGTAAAAGTAAAACATTTTCAGACAAAAAATGGAAGTATTTATCATATGTGACCTTAAAAAAAATATACACTGCATATTTATTCATGTAGGTTTTTCCTCCATATACTGTATAGTGTGAATGAGTTACATAGCTGTACATGAGTTGTACAATATTTAAGTTGCATACTGTTCAATCCTTGCTTCTTTTTTTTCAGAGCTGAATCAGAGTTTACATTCTCTCGCTGGATGGAAGTGATAGCAACTGCCACACAAAACTCCGCACGGTCTCGTCTCTTTAGTAGGAAGGAGAGTGAGAATGAGAGCATCAGGCTGTGAAATTGAAAATTGTAGCTCTTTATTGCATCACTGCTCAAGGACGCATCTCCAAATTTAAATGTCAATAATTTGATATATAAAAAATAGCTTGTACAAATTAAACATCCATATTAATTTTTTCCCAGTACCGGCAGTGGTTCTAAAAATAAGCAAGATACAGTTACTTAAATAGAGAAATGAAGAATGTTTGTGTACATTTTTTCAAATATCCTTTTAAAGAAATTGCAAGTATTTTATTTAAGTATTAAAATATATTAACAGCTGAAACTATATGAATGGCTAATGCATATCTATAAAGTAATTTTCTGATATTTTTATAGTACTAAGAACTTTTGTAAATACTGTAATAAATATAGGTGAAGGCCTATCACTTCAAAACTAAGGCTTTGAGTGTAGATGAAAAGCTCTTTTCTTGGTTGCTTCATCAGGCAAGGTTCTACACAGATTTATAATGGATCCAGCCATGAATGACTTACAATGAAAACTCTTCCAGCACCAACAAGACCACCAAAGAGAAAGCCTTTAGGGAGCTTAAAGAATTAGTAATAAAGTTGAGTGCATGCATTGTAGCACCGGTGCACTGCTGTGGTGCAGCACCTTGTCTAAGGAAGTACCAAGTTGTATAGTTCACACAATGTTAAGTATTGCAAATTTTATGTAAAGACTGTTTCTTACAAAAGTAGCATTATTGCAGAAATTTATTTTTAGAGATCAATGTGTATAGCGTTTCAATAATAATGACGTTTTTGTTCAGCTAGTGGTAAACTCATGTCACTGAATTTTATACAAAAATGCCCGTTCATTGATGTACAGAACCAAACACCCAAGTGTTGTTCAGCAAGATATAATTTATATATATACAAGTTTGTGATTGCATCATATCATTTTTGTACTTCCCAATCAGGATTTGTGACAAATTAAATAGTGTGACAGTGCTATTTAATATTATGGTGCATCTTTCCAATGTTGAAAGTTAGCAACAAGATTTATAAACACCATGATAACAGCAAAATAGGTTGTGTACTAATAAGTTTATTGCTCACTGGAAATAGCATACAATAGATTTAATGTAAAAACTTCATAAATATACTTATTCATTTATTCAATCTAAACACTGGTTTAGCTAGGTTATGTAATTGTTTATAGATGTTATTTAAAGTTGTGATGACTATTATTAGATAGAATTCATACATACTAATGGAATTGATCAGTTTGTATTATCTAACTAATTATGTAAAGAATTATTTGGGGGTCCTAGTCCACATTGTGTCATAGTTGTCAAGTTAAATGTGTACCAAAAACGGATAAAATTCCACATTGTAGAATCTCAACTAATTTTTCCTATTAGTAGATAATTTGTTCATGTTCATATGACAATTATGGCATATTATAATATGCTCTAAAAGTGAAAAAAAAAGTTTATCGGCTGACAAGAAATTATTTTAAAATTTATTCCGAGTACTGTATGTTGAGGTGAATAACTTAACACTTGTTGCTCTTAAGTGCCATGATTTAAACAAAATTAAAACAATGCAATTTATTTCTATTTTTTTGCATACGAACTTTGTATTGAGATTTCATATAAAGTTTTTTTAATTCTTCTTACATTGCCTTGTCCCTGCCTTACCACCTTAGATCTGTAATATTGCAATAAATAATATGGTTAGTTGTTGACGTCTAATTTTCTAGTGATATATTGACTGTAAAATATCATACAGAAGCAAAAGAGCACACACCCAGGCATCATAAGGTGTAAGTTTGTCAACTGTTCTCAATGAATATATCATTTAAAATCATATTTCAATTGCTCAGTTTACATTCATCTTCATTCTGTAATAAATTGTAACATTGTGTAAGCCAACAGCACTTGTTTTTCAACAGCATATAATAGCTATGATTGATAAAATGTTTAAAATAATATCAGTGTTTGCCCAAGATAAATTATCATTGAAGAAAAAGTTTGAAAAAAGAAGCAATTCATATGAACTATACTCATCATGCACCTCTGCTTACAGGCCCACTGCATGGAACATCGGCACCTGCCTTCATGTCACCATCGTCACTCGTTCTACTTCAATTCTTGTATTCCATTTAACATTTTTAATAAAATCAAAAATACTTAAAATTCAGTATTTGCTTTGTATTCAGTCCTCAACATATCACCTAGTGCACCCTTGACACACACACACACACACACACAAAGGATAATATTCAGAGGTTGAAAATGGGGGACAGATACTCGGAAAATGAAAGGGAAATGTGTGAAACATCAAACGAAAAGTTCCAAAGTGTGTTTGTACAAAATGAGATCTTCAGGGAACCAGACGCAATAAGAATTCCAGAGAACAACATAGAGCACATAGAGGTGTCTAGAGACGAAGTGAAACAAATGCTCTTGGAGCTAAGTAAGAACAAAGCAGTTGGCCCAGATGGAGTTTCATCATGGGTTCTGAGAGAATGTGCAGTTGAGCTCAGCATACCACTTCGGCTGATTTTTCAGACATCCCTGTGTACAGGAGTCGTAGTAGATGTATGGAAAAAGGCTAACATAGTTCCAATCTACAAAAGTGGCAGCAGGGAAGACCCCCTCAATTATAGACCTGTATCATTGACAAGAGTAATAGTCAAAATATTGGAAAAAATAATAAAAACTAGATAGTGGGTAGAACACCTGGAGAGAAATAATATAATATCAGACAGACAGTAAGGTTTTCTATCTGAAAGATCCTATGTATCGAATTTACTCAGTTTCTATGATAGAGCCACAGAGATGTTACAGGAAAGAGATGGTTGGGTTGACTGCATCTATCTGGACATAAAAAAGGCTTTCGACAGAGTTCCACATAAGAGGTTGTTCTGGAAACTGGAAAATATTGGAGGGGTGACAGGAAAGCTTTTAACATGGATAAAAAAAATTCTGACATAGAAAAATGAGGGCAGTAATCAGAGGCAATGTATCGGACTGGAGAAATGTCACAATTGGAGTACCACAGGGTTCAGTTCTTGCACTGGTGATGTTCATTGTCTACATAATTGATCTACCAGTTGGAATACAGAATTATATGAACATGTTTGCTGATGATGCTAAGATAATAGGAAGGATAAGAAACTTAGATGATTGTCATGCCCTTCAAGATGACCTGGACAAAATAAGTATATGGAGCACCACTTGGCAAATGGAATTTAATGTGAATAAATGCCATGTTATGGAATGTGGAATAGGCGAACACAGACCCCACACAACCTATAAATTATGTAAGAAATCTTAAAGAATTCTGATAAAGAAAGAGATCTACTTGTGGTTCTAGATAGAAAATTATCTCCTGAGGACCACATAATGAACGTTGTGCGAGGAGCGTATGCCACGCTTTCTAACTTCAGAATTGCTTTTAAATACATAGATGGCGAAATACTAAAGAAATTGTTCACGACTTGTTAGGCCAAAGCTCGAATATGCAGCGGTTGTGTAGTGCCCATATCTTAAGAAGCACATCAACAAACTGGAAAAGGTGCAAAGACATGCTACTAAGTGACTCCCAGAACTAAAGGGCAAGAGCTACGAGGAGAGGTTAGAGGCATTAAATATGCCAAAACTAGAAGACAGAAGAAAAAGAGATGACATGATCACTACGTACAAAATAGTAACAGAAATTTATAAAATCGACATGGAAGATTTCCTGAGACCTGAAACTTCAAGAACAAGAGGTCATAGATTTAAACTAATTAAACGAAGATGCAGAAGAAATATAAGAAAATTCACTTTTGCAGAGTGGTAAACAGTTGGAACAAGTTAAAGTGAGAAGGTGATGGAGGCAAAAACCGTACTTTCAGTAGCGTTATATGAAAAAAAAAAAGAGTGTTGGGTAGACGGGACACCATGAGCGTAACTCTCATCCTGTAACTACAACTTAGGTGATTACACTTAGGTAACTACACACATTTGACATCTGCAATTTCAGCACTACCACCACCTTTATAAAACCATATTTCCGTAATATGTCAACGAGCCCAATAAACCCTAGGTATACACCTCTGCTTTCATCACACATCCTCAAAACACCTCAATAAACTTTTAACACTGCAATACAAGCCAAAGAAACTCTCAATACTGCCCTCATCACAAACCACAACACAAACCCCCTCAAAACAAATTATGAGGTAAGGTAATTTTCTGAAGCGAGCACGAAACCATTACGACTATAAAACACTTGGAAGGAATATGATAATAAGGATTTAGGACAGAATGAAGGAAAGGAATGGTGCCCATCCACTTGGACGGTTGGGGATTAAACTCCGACCTACAAGAAGTGAGGCCGTCGCTCTAGCATCGAGTCCAAGTAAAAAAAATCATGAGATAACCTCAATAAAACTTTTGCCTTTTGTGTCCTCAACTTATAATGTAATCATTCAAGAAACACAAACTTCTTCCTTGTACAACACCTCAACAAATACCTTCAATACCTCAACCCATAAAACACAAACCTAAAGAAATTCAACACAACAAACCTCATCACAAACCACACACCATCAACAGACCTTATCACAAGCCACATACACTCAACAAACATAGTCTGGCCTTTGCAACACTAAACATTCCCTGAACATCTTAACCTCCTAATTATGTGCCCTAAATTAGGTCAGTTTCCTGATATGCATAATAAAAAATCCTTCGTATATCATAAAACCAATTTTTTGTTGGAAAAATTAAACCATTAAGAACTCTAATAACTTTAAGTTGGCCATAGTAAGGTGAAGAAATGTTGATGACACTTAAGGGGTTCCACTCAGGTAAGTACTAATTATTGCCAACTTTGCTCTTAACAATGTGTAGCAAGTATATTATGTCTGTAATAATACTTGCTCCATATTCTCATTAGCTTATCTTGAGGTTACCTTGAGATGGTTTTGGGGCTTAGCGTCCCCGCGGCCTGGTCCTCGACCAAGCCTATTCATTGCTGGACTGGTCAACCAGGTTGTTGGACACGGCTGCCTACAGCCTGATGTATAAGTCACAGCCTGGTTGATCAGGTATCCTTTGAAGGTGTTTATCAAGTTCTCTCTTGAACAATGTGAGGGGTTGGCCAGTTATGCCCCTTATGTGTAGTGGAAGCATGTTGAACAGTCTCAGGCCTCTGATGTTGATAGAGTTCTCTCTCAGAGTACCTATTGCACCTCTGCTCTTCAACGGGGGTATTCTGCACATTTTGCCATGCCTTCTGGTCTCATGTGATGTTATTTCTGTGTGCAGGTTTGGGACCAGCCTCTAGTATTTTCCACGTGTAAATTATTCTCCCGCCTGCACTCAAGAGAATGCAGATTAAGGCATTTTAGTCAGTCCCAGTAGTTTAAATGTTTTACCGAGTGAATTTTAGCAGAAAAGAATCTCTGCAAGTCCTCCAGGTGAGCAATTTCTCCAGCTTTGAAAGGGGCTGTCATTGTGCAGCAGTACTCCACTCTAGAGAGCACAAGCGTCTTGAAAAGTATCATCATCGGAATAGCATCACTATTGTGAAAGGTTTTTCTTATCCAACCTGTCATTTTTCTTGTAGTTGTGATGACTACTTTATTGTGTTCTTTAAAGAGGTTCCTGTTTTTGTTATTAGTACATCCAAGAAAGGCAGACTGTTATTTTCACTATTTTCAAGTGTAAATTGGAGTACTGACTCTCTCTCTAGATGGATTTTTAAGATAAATTAGTTCATCCGAGTCTTTTACTACCTTACCTTGAGGTTACCTTGAGGTACTTCCGGGGCTTAGCGTCCCCGCGGCCCGGTCGTCGACCAGGCCTCTTGGTTGCCGGACTGATCAACCAGGCTGTTGGACGTGGCTGCTCGCAGCCTGACGTACGAGTCACAGCCTGGTTGATCAGGTATCCTTTGGAGGTGCTTATCCAGTTCTCTCTTGAACACTGTGAGGGGTCGGCCAGTTATGCCCCTTATGTGTAGTGGAAGCGTGTTGAACAGTCTCGGACCTCTGATGTTGATAGAGTTCTCTCTCAGAGTACCAGTTGCACCTCTGTTTTTCAACGGGGGTATTCTGCACATCCTGCCATGTCTTCTGGTCTCATGTGATGTTATTTCTGTGTGCAGGTTTGGGACCAGCCCCTCTAATATTTTCCACGTGTAAATTATTATGTACCTCTCCCGCTATGACGAATGTACTATGACGAATATGTCATCTACATAACGGCAGTATACAGTTGGTTTTTGTCTATTACTGAAGACTTTATCTTCGATGGTTCCCATGTAAAAATTAGCGAATAACACTCCTAAGGGGGAGCCCATTGCTACTCCATCTATTTGTAGATACATGTCCCCTTGTGGACTGATGAAAGGAGCTTCCTTTGCACATGCCTCGAGAAGGCTTTTCAAATGTGGCTCGGGTATGTCTAATTTAGGGGTGCTCTCGTCTCTGTATACTCTGCCCAGTATCATTTCTGTGGTGGTGTCGACTGGGGCATTGGTAAAAAGGGATTCAATGTACAGGGAAGCAATGATTCCATCGGGCTGTGTAGTTTTGATTAATTCTAGGAAATCTGCTGATGATTGTAGACTATAGTTGCTTGGAATGTATGGAGTTAGGAGTTCATTGAGTCTTTTTGCCAGGTGATAGGTTGGAGCTGGTATTTGGCTGATTATTGGACGTAGTGGGTTACCTGGTTTGAGTGT